GGGAGAGGGCGGGGTGGGGGCGGGGTGCAGCCGCTGCTACTCCAGTGCGGGAGACCCCCTGCCCTTGCCCGCCATCCTGGCACCTACTTGTCCTTCCAGTGGTGGTGGCAGTAGTGGCCACAGATGTCCTCGATGCCTGTCAGAAGGTGGTCCAGGAACTGAAATGGGCCCAGGGCCAAGTCAAGGCTCACTGCTGGGCTCTTCCCTCCCACCACACTGTAGCGGTACACCACCCAGCCCTGCAGTTCCAGGAGCAGCCAGGAGGTGGCGCCCACACCCCACACATCCTGAGTCCAGCAGCTCAGCAGAAGTAGTGGCCACAGATGTCCTCGATGCCTGTCAGAAGGTGGTCCAGGAACTGAAATGGGCCCAGGGCCAAGTCAAGGCTCACTGCTGGGCTCTTCCCTCCCACCACACTGTAGCGGTACACCACCCAGCCCTGCAGTTCCAGGAGCAGCCAGGAGGTGGCGCCCACACCCCACACATCCTGAGTCCAGCAGCTCAGCAGAGGAGCTCTAGAGACCCTCTGCCCCCTGGGCCTGGCTAAACCCCCACTCCAGCCAGGACTGTGCCTGGGACAAGCTCAACAGGAGGCAGACATGGCAGGACGCTAGCGTCACACGGCTCAGAGAGGTTAAGCAACTTTCTAAGGTTCCACAGAAGTAGGAAAGCCAAAAAGCAAAGCCAGTTAGGCTGGCTACAGGGGGAGGTGCCTGCCCCACGCTGCCTTCAGTGAAAATGCCTCCCCTTCCCTGCAGCCAGACCCTCAAGAGTGAGGACCACTGGGTTTAGGCCAGGGAGGAGCGGGTGGGGGAGGCAGAGTGGGTGGTGTCGCCCAGCTGTCCCGCTTTCTATTGCACCCTGGACTCCGGCAGCCGGGCCGCACCTGCGTGTGGATCTCCTCGTTGATGGAGCGCTTGGTCTCCTGCTTCTTCTTCACCGCCAACAGGTCCACCAGGGGCCGGATGGTCATGCCCTGGGGAGGCGGGGCATCAGGCACTCCAGCTCTGCGGCCCAGGCAGGACGCTAGGCCTCCACCCTGCCCTCAGTCCCCTGAGGCTGGGATGTCCTCACGAGGTCTCCAGCCTCTCAGGGCAGGCGTTCCAACGCCCATCTCCACTCCAGCACTTACACAAAGGCTGGTCCTTAAGGCCTGCTCCTCCGGAGACTGCCCATGCAGCCCGGGCCTGGGCTCGTGTGCAGGCTCCATCTCAGCCTCACTCTGAACCCCAAGGAGTCAGGACAGTGACCTCTGCCCGGTCTCCCGCAAGGACTGCAGGACCCCCACTGCAGCAGCGGCTGACCCACTGCGGGTCTGCCCGGGGATAGGCCGGGGTAGGTGTCCCACGAGCATTAGCGCTTCAGTCCCCACGGCCCTAAGAGGTGGGTGTTTCCAATGGAGAAGGGATTGCAGTGGCCACCCCTCAGTGGGTGATTTCTCACTTTCTGCCTCTGTCTCTCTCTCTCTGTGTCTCTCCGGCGAGCATGCACGCCCTATAGCAAAAACCTCTCAAAAAAAAAAAAAAAAAAAGAAAAAAAAAAAAAAAAAAAGCAGAAACAA